GGAAGCACCTCCAGGCAAATTGTGTGTCGCTCAAAGGGTATTAAATATTCAACCTCAGGAAGAGCTTGAGCAGAGAGAGAACCTCTTTCATATGAGGTGTGTAGTGAATTGCAAGCTTCTTTCAGTTGTGATTGTGGAGGGAGCTGCACCAACATGGTGAGTGCAAGTTGTGTGAAGAAATTGGAGTTAATAACGAAGATTCATCCAAAACCCTACACTCTTCAATGGCTCAATGAAGATGGTTAGATTAAGGTGGGAAATCAATTTCTCCTCAAGTTCTTCATTGGGAAGTACAAGGATGAAGTAACGTGTGATGTGGTTCCTATGCAAGTTGCTCATGTTCTATTTGGGAGGACATGGCAATTCAATCGCAAAGGCACAACATGATGGAGTCACCAACAAGTACACTTTGCTAAATCAAGGTAAGAAGATCTTATTGAAGCCTCTTTCTCCTAGAGAGGTTTATGAAGACCAATTTCAAATGCAACAAATTTGAGAGGAGGAGAAGGAAGCTCAAGCTGCAAGGAGTAGAAAGAAGGGTCGAGTAGCTTGGAGTCCAAGGCGTTGATGCTAGCTCGAAGTGGTGACATGAAGTAAGCTATTAATGATCAAGTTCCTATGATTATCTTCTTATAAAAGGGAGTGCTACTCAATCAAGAGTTGATTCGAGAGATACCACCTAGGACACGAGTGGTATTCGAAAAATTCGAAGTTGTATTTCCCGAGGAAGCTCCAAAGAGTTTATCTCCAATCTGCGGGATAGAGCACCAAATTGATTTCGTTCTTGGAGCTACCATTCCAAACAAGCCAACTTATAGGATGAATCCAGAGGAGACAAAGGGGTTGCAAAGGCATATCGATGAGCTTATAGAGAAAAGACATGTTCGTGAGAGCATGAGTCCCTGCGCAGTTGTTGTCATTATCGTGCCAAAGAAGGACCATACGTGGAGAATGTGTGTTGATTGTCGAGCAGTCAACCAAATAACAATAGGAGATGAATGGAAGACAACTTTCAAAATGAAGCATGGTCTCTATGAGTGGATGATGATGCCATTCAGCTTAACAAATGCTCTGAGTACATTTATGAGACTAATGAATCACGTGTTGATAGCATTCATTGGGAAGTTCATGGTTGTATACTTCGATGGCATCCTGATTTACTTGAAGAGCATGGACGAGCATCTTGATCACTTGAGGGACATGTTGAAGACATTGAGAAAGGATTAGCTCTATGCAAATCTTAAGAAGTGCATGTTTTACACCTTATGCGTGGTCTGGGCTTCGTTGTTAGTGCTAATGGAGTTGAATTCGATGAAGACAAGGGGAAGGCTATTCAAGCATGGCCTACTCATACAAACATGAATGAAGTAAGAAATTTTCATGGGTTGGTTGTCTTATATTGACGATTTGTGCCCAACTGCAGCACCATTGCCACGCCTTTAACATCGATTATTAAGAAAAATGTGGTGTTCTATTAGGAAGAAGAGCAAGAGAAGGCATTCGAGCTCCTCAAGTACAAGCTTACTCATGCTCATGTTCTGATGCTACCAGATTTTAACAAGACTTTTAAAGAGGAGTGTGATGCGTCATATTGGGAATTGGCGCTATATTGATACAAGAGAAGAGGCCAATGCATATTTTGGCGAGTAATTAAGTGGAGCTACGCTTAATTATCTTACCTATGATCAAGAGCTCTATGCATTGGTTCGAGAATATGAGACTTGACAACATTACTTGTGAGTTGTGACCAAAGGAATTTTCATCCATACTGATCATGAGTCTCTCAAATATTTGAAGGAACAACATAAGTTGAACAAGAGGCATGCACGTTGGGTAGAGTTCATTGAATCGTTTTCCTTACGTGATTAAGAACAAGAGACATGCACGTTGATCACTACCATGGATGCAAGGTACCTTGGGTTCGATGAGGAGGATTCTGATTTTCGAGGGATCTACAAGCTATGTGAGAAGCATGGAGAAGGGAAGTACTATCAGCATGAGGGTTGCTTGTTTCGTGGTAATCAGCTTTGCATACCACGTACTTCACTTCGAGAATTCGACTATGAGAAGCTCATGGAGGAGGATTAATGGCACACTTTGGTGTAGCCAAAGCATTAAGTTACTTACAAGAGCACTTCTACTGGCCTCGTATGAAAAGTGATGTGGAGAACTTGAGTGCTAGATGCGTGGAGTGCAAGCAAGCTAAATCAAAGGTGCAATCATCTAGATTAAATACACTACTCCCATTTCATCAATACCATGGGTCGACATATCTATGGATTTGGTGTTGGTTTTGCCCAGGACAAGAAGAGGACGAGATTCTATCTTTGTGATGGTGGATAGATTTTTGAAGATGGCACATTTCATTCCATGCCATAAGACTGATGATGCAATTAATGTGGCAGATCTGTTCTTCAAAGAGATCGCGAGGCTACATGGAATGTCGCAGACGATTGTTTCTGATCACGATGCAAAGTTCTTGAGCTACTTTTGGAAGAGATTGTGGAGCAAGTTTGGAACAAAACTCTTGTTTTTGACTTGTCATCCTCAAACGGATGGACAAACTGTAGTGGTGAATCATACTCTATCTCAAATGAGCAGTCATCAAGAGCAACATCAAGGTTTTGGGAGGACTGCCTACCACACGTGGAGTTTGCTTACAATAGAGCAATGCATTCAATAATGAAATATTCACCTTTGAGCTCGTGTACGGGTGCAATCCTCTTACTCCATTGGATTTAACATCTCTACATTTGAAGGAGCAAGTGAACTTGGATGGAGCCAAGAATGCGGAGTATGTGAAGAATCTCCATGAGAAGGCACGATTGAGTATCGAGAAGAGAACATAGCAGATTGAGAAAATAGTGAACAAGCATAGAAATATTAGAAATTTTGAAGCATGAGATTGGTTGTGGGTTCATATGAGGAAGGAAAGGTTTCCAAATCAAAGGAGATCCAAGTTTCTACCAAGGAGTGAAGCCCCTTTCAAGTAATTTTGAAGGTTAGAAGTAATGCATACAAGCTTGACTTACTAGAGGAGTATGACATAAGTTCAACCTTCAACGTTTCTGAACTTGTACCATTTTCTGGAGGATGATTTGGATTTGAGGTCAAATCATTTTCAAGAAAGAGGGATTGATGAGGTCATCAAGACCAATCCTGCTCAAGAAGAAGAAGGTATAATGACTAGAGCTAGAGCTAAGGCTTTAAGAGATCAAATTGCAAGCTATTTCGGTCCACAACTGAAGGTCATGGACGAGGAGATGCTAGAGGAGTAGAAGCCTCAAGTTAGAGGCTAACTGCAAAATGCCATTCTTGAGAAGGGAACAAGTCAGCTTGGCAAACCACTTCATGCTACCTTGTTTTAAACCATATAGAGACTTTCTAAGTCTGCATACCTTCCATTCACTTCCTTCTAGTCCAAGTGGTGGTGTCATATAAACTTCTTCATCTAAGTCTCCATGCATAAATGCGTTGGAGACATCCATTTGGTGCAAACACTAGGTCTTGGCTGCTGCTAATGCCAGAAGAGTCTTTACTGGGTTTATTTACATCTAATTTGCACTCAGCAAACAAAACAAATAACGTTCTTTTATATGCATAACAAGCTGTTAGCAAAGGCTCATCCTATATAATAAGTAGATCACCGATATTAACCAACATAATGCTCAATATGTCGAAAAGAAACAATCGGCTTATCCTCGATTCTCCGCTTCGTTTCAACTAATTGAATTCGACAAGGATTGATGTACCATGTATACATACAACGAGCTGGAGCTCAAACTCTAAAATTGCTACCAATTACATGTTCCTTTTCCTTTTCCCCCCTACAATATTTCATCCTCATAAATTCGTTACCCCTTTTATCTTCCAGCTCTTTGCTTTGGCAGCCAGTTCGCGGAACGCAATGCAATATATATTTTAATGGCTCTTGGCACTTTGCTAGCTCAATATGATAATGATAATAACGTAACAGACTTGCATCTGGCAACATAAACTGAACAATAACTGCTCCGAATCTAGGGTTAGCACATGCGAGTTGCTACAAAACCACAACAGTACTGATATTTCCATCTCCATTCTCGTACCAAGTCCTGAAGCCCAGCTGGATAGCGACATAGTATAACCAATAGATTCGTAAATGATCTGGCTTCTCTAATTATCAACTATGCAGTGATCTGTCTTTTTTCTTACAGTGATCTGTTGAAGCTAACTAAAATAAAGTGTTAAGACTACGTATCATATGCCCCTCTCTCTACTATATACCTTTATCAAACATTCTTCTAAGGTACGCCCGGGCGTACGCTAGCCTTTGCCATATATATATATATATATATATATATATATATATATATATATATATATATATCTTTGCATTTTTTAAAAACCATCAAATTAAAAATGTCCTTCTATTAAAATTTTCATCAAAACACTATCAACCACGATTAAACCGTGATTTTTCGGCTACACAAATTTTTAAAATATCTCAAATAATTTCATTATAATATTTTTTTTGGTTTCAATTATATACAGAATATCCCTAGCTAATAAATTTAATTTAGAGGAATAATTGAAGGGATAGAAATCATATTTCCCCTCCCATTGTTTCGAGGTCAATGATATGTGTGATGTAAAAATATCAACCCAGAATGCAATAATATGCCAACTTGTTATGCATGTATCCTCCTTCCTAATGACAAAAATATCCACCAACAAATAATTAGTTGCAGACTAAACAGAGGAGGACATGATTTAATCCACTATGGAAAACCACTTCTGAAAACAGTTGGAAGAAACCGGTGGTATTATTATTTCTGTTTCTAGCAAAGTATACAAGAAAAACCAAAAAATGAAAAGAGGAAATAAAAAAACGACTATAGATGGCAAGTTCTGGGGTCAATTCTCATGTGACGCTTTAAGCCCAGCGTAGCAGGTAACCACGTGTACCATGTCACAACTGGATTGTTTTATTTTAAGGATGCCGGAATAACCGGAAAATCTTAGCGATGGCTGTCGGTGCAAGCCGCCATCAATTCCTCCAGATAGTCGGCTCCTAGATCCTCCAGCACCACCACCACATTGCTCTGTCCCGCCGCCGCCGCTGATTTCGTACGACTTTTGGAATGGACGTCATTAGCTTCCACGCCGGCCGCCAATGGCCGCCGCTCCTTGGTCTTTTTGGACGTTGACTTCCTTCGGACGGAGTGGCGGCGCTTCAGGGCCAGCACCGGCGAGCACTCTTCGGCTGCTTCTTCCCTCCCTTCCAGTTCCAGCGACTCCCTCACCCTCTCGACGGGGAAGTTGAGCACCGCCATGGAACCCCGGACGGCGAATGCGGCTTGGTCGTAGGCCAGCGCCGCCGCCTCCGCGCTGTCGAACGTCCCCAGCCAAACCCTCACCCCGTTCCGCGTCGAGTCCCGTATCTCTGCCGCGTACTTCCCCCACGGCCTCCTCCTCACCCCTCTGTACGCCGGCGTCGCCAGCTCGTCGGATGTCAAATCTTCCTCTTCTTTGGATGAATACTGGTGGCGACGGAACATTTCGCTGGCTCTGCCAGTAGGGATCAACGCCTCCTTCCCGGCCGCCATGATTTCTTCGGCGGGGAAGGTGGAATATTCGTGCGGTGGCATATCGAGGAAGTCACCACCCCAGCGGCAGCTGGAGCTGCTGAAAGAGTAGTCGAGACAGGATGCTGAAGTGGCAAATGATGATGACGTCGATTCCGGCGGCGGCGGCGGCGAGAAATAGTACTCGAACTCGGATTGTGGAAACTGATGGTGATGGTAACTACTATTGTGGAAATTCCAAGCTTCCATGGTGTGATTGTGTGAAGAGAGATGTCTCTTTCTTTCTGATGAAGATGATGATGGAGGTTGAAGATAGTTGGATCATCCTATTCACCAACGCCCTTTATATAACTGTTCAACAATGGACTCAAGAAGGTCTTTGATCCCATTCTGCAGCTACACATTCAAAATTGGGGTTTTCATTTTTATTTTGGATATATATAACTGAAATATTAAACATCAACTAGATAGTACTAATTTTCCAAAACAATATAGAGGCCGAATAACATGGCAAATAATTTCTAGTTCTAAAACTAATTCTTCATAAAAATAAAAATAAAAAGGAAAAAAAGGCAATGATACCCATGTGATTTGGTTAAATTGTGATCATGCTCAACAAAAAGGAAAAAAAGAAAGAAAAAACAGTAAAGAGGACGAAACTCGGTCTCGATGTAAAACTCGTGGTAGCGGCCTTGGGAAACGGTGGTAGGGAACAACTTAGGATTCCGCCGACAGTACTTTGAGATCAGCTGCAGAATGGTGGGCAAAGGTGATGATTTGTGCAAAAAGCCACAGACAAATACCTATCGAACAATAATTAAACACAAAGGCGATGATTTGTGCAAAAAGCCGTAGATGAAAACCTATCGAACAATAACTAAACACAAAAGCGATGATTTGTGCAAAAAGCCATAGACGAAAATTTAGCGAACAATAACTAAACACAAAGTCGATGATTTGTGCAAAAAACCATAAACGAAAAACTAGCGAACAATGACTAAACACAAAGGTTGTAGAATGGAGACTAGGGTAAAAGAAGAGTTTGGAACTTCCCAACTTGCACTTGGAGGAGTGTGAGACAAATGAATAGTAATTCCCATGTTAGGCTTTAATATATTAAATTAATTGAGATGTTGACTTTTGTTGAAAGGCAAGCACGTGTAGAAGTATTAGTAAATGGAGAACGGTTTGTGATCTCTAACACTATGTTTCCGAAGGGAGGGAGCAAAAGGAGGGGAGGTGAAGGAAAATTAGGAAGGGAGGGGAGATTTGGAGGTGAGGGAAATTGGAGAGAATTGAAAAGAAAATGTTGTTTTATGAAGGAAAATGGAGAGAAAAGTAGGAGATAAAAAATAGATTGAGAAGTGTGATAGATATTGTTTTTACTGATGATGTAAGAGTTAAATAATTAACTTGTGTTTATACTATTTACATTAATGATATATTGTGGATCAAAGTGGTTCTTCTTTGCTAATTTTGTTAACTACAACAAATTAAGTTGGTTATTTGAATAAAATTAGTGAACTTGTTACTAAGAATAAGTTAACTATTTTATTGAGTCATCAACATGGCAACCAAATATATAAACATACAATAAATCACACATATATAAATTGTCCAAAAAACAACGGGATAATAGTAGTTTTCCAAACATAAGGTTACATGCTAATACTAGAAGTACATAAATCTGTCCAAAATCTGTTAATACTAGACATACATAGTACAATCCGTTTAAAAGGTCGCCTGATAATACTAGACTTACATAAGTTCGTCCAAAAGAAGGCAACATGTTAGTACTAGTTCTCATGCTAATACTAGACATACATAAATCCGTCCTAAATAAAGGCATCTACTAATACTAGACATACATAGTACAATCCATCCAAAAGAAGGTCACCTAATAATACTAGACTTAAATAAGTTTGTCCAAAAGAAGGCAACCTGTTAGTACTAGGCATACATAATACTAAACCACATCAAAAGTCAACTTGCCAAAAGGTTTGTTTTTTTGCCAAATCAACTATGAACTGTTGTCGATACTCTTCTGCCAAATAAAACCCGTCTGGTATCTGGATTTTTTGCAAGATACTTATAGCCATTCAACCTCATTTCTCCAAGAATATCATAGCGTTGCAATTCTTGGAAAATTTCGCCCTCTTTGTAGATGTGAGTCTTCTGATGGTCGAGAATTACCAAAGACCTCTCTTTAATCCCATTTCCTTTCTCCATAGCCTTGACAGAAAGTTCAGCAATCACAATACCTTTCTCTATACTTGATGTCATTATACTCATGTTGACATCCATTACCTCAAGCTGATTGGTAGATAGATCTCCCATAGGAGCTTTTCTTTTGGTTCCCTTTGAAGAGGTAGTACCATGAGAGTCGACTGATGGTGGAGGATCAGGAGTAAATGAAGATCTAGCATCGGAGCTATATGCGTTTGTGCCTTCACGAGGTGTAAATGGTGAAGGAATATAGGCATTCATACCTTCATCATCTCCTGACATGTTATTCAAATCAATGTCGAATGTCGGAGTCCTCATATTCCAACGTTCAATCCTCTCAAATGCACTTGCAGCTCCTTCTCCGGTTGCTCTAAACTCCCCATACAACTCAAAGAGTTTATCATAGTTGTTGATGGGTGTCCTAATCCATCGACTAGCATTCGGCTTCTCCTACATTACAACAATGAATTTTATAATAATATGTATGTGATTGGAAAGTCAAGGAAAAAAGGCAAAAAAAGATCATATACCTGAATTAGTTGCTCCCATACTTCCCGTTCAGCTTCAAAAAGTTTGGTTACCGGATTCCAGCAAAGCCACTCATGTTATGGAATAAATCTTTCACAGTTGCAAAGTGCTTTTTCAATGTCTTCTGCCTATTTTTTATTTTCTCCTTGTCGAAATTATGCCAAAACAACCCATGAAAAGCAATAACAACATTGTTATAAGCATGAGTTGTGAACATGCCCTCTTGCCTATTCCCCTTACGTTGCTCGGCTAGTAAACTTTCTAGCAAAGCAGTGTCCATCTCCTCTGTCCATTGTAGGTTCTCCTTAGTGGATGTCTCCCCCAGAATTGTCTGCTTCCCTTTTGTTCGTTTGCTCATTGTGCTTCCTTTAAAAAAGGATGAATATTAGTCATCACAACTAGACAGTGGATAAAGGCATAATTGCAAGTACTTCAGTTCTGGGGAAAAAATAAAGGCACACATAAATAAAGGCACAAAAGTCTCTCAACAGGAAACCTCTAAAGTAATAACACAGCTACAAACACATGTCAACCTTGTTGCATATTATAATCATGCCACATGTGTTCTACTATACTATCACGTAATTCTATCCCAACTCTTGATTCCTCTTCACATTGTGGCTCATTTTGCCTTTGGATCCTCTCTAGTTCTCGATCAACTTCTGCAATTAGCTGCTCATCGAGGTCGACTCCCATAAGAAAGTTATGTATGATACAACAAGCTAGGATAATGTTGGTAGTTGTGCCGAAAGAATATTGTGGCTCCATACCGGTGCCAATAATAGGAAATCTCTTTTTCACCACCCCTAAAACATCTTTCAATCGAGTTATGTAGACTAGCATGACGATGATTGAACAATTCTTTATCATTCTTAGGACCATTACGTGAATACTCCTTTAAGTGATACCGAACACGTCTGTATGGTGTTAATAACGAAGCACGTAACATTAGCCCACCATCCCCGAGATAGAATTTCTCTATAGATTATTAAAAAAAACATTAATGAAAAGATGAATGATGTAAGTAATGGTGAAACACATACAAGAATGATTATGCTACATGACATACCTTCCAGTATTACAAGCCCATGTGGTCTAGCCAATGCATCTTTTAAAATCCTTGAATCAGATGCAGTCCCTTCCCACCCAGCTAAAATATATAGGAATTGCAAGTCAAAGTTGCATGAAGCTAGAACATTTTGAGTAGGCCACTCTTTCCGACCTCTAAAACGAGTTTGACTGGCGCGATTTACTTCACCCGAAAGTGGGTACCATCAATAGCCCCAATGCAATCTTGAGGAGATATGTATGCAGACATCTAAGTATACATGGTTTGAAAGACACCTTAAGATATGGAACTATGTACACAATGGAAGTAATGAATCATTACCTTGAAGTACGTAAAAAATCTAGAGTTATTGCCTATTATGGAGGACACCGGCGTTGTTGCATTAGGTTGCTTCATGAATTGAGGTGCTAAACTTATCACAGCTCCCAAGACATTATGAAAATGCCTACTGACAGTCCCAATACTTCGACGATAGTAGAAAGCCAGATTGCGATACTTGCCACAAGTTTGGGCAAGGATAGACAAAAATCTCGCTACTTGCTCTTCCACTGTGGCACGATTATAATCTTGCAGCACTCCCATACTCCGTAATTTTTCACAAAAAAGAGCAAAAGCATCTACTCCCATGCGTAATGTTGCACGACATGCAACTTCATGGTTACGTAATTCTTTCAAAAAATCTCTTCTTTTCTCCTCTCTCACTTGAAAACTCAACCCCGAAGATCCACTCGAGGCTTGTCTATTTAATAGATGCAATGCATAGACAATATAGCATATAAGTTGTATGACACAAATATCTCTTTGTCTTCGCCAATTTTCCATGACTATTATCCAACTATCTTGTTCTGTACCATGCAAATCCAAAATCTCTTCCAAACCATTTGTAACATGCTCTTCAATCTCATTTGAATCTTGAGCTTCTATATTCATCTAATCAAGATAGAAATGATAATTAAGTTGCTATGTTAATGTTGTAAATTTTATTTAGCACACACATCATATCATTTGTACATTAATCGGCAGATGATGGACTTTATTGGGTAAATCATGATTAGGGGTGTTAGTCGGTGCGGTTTCGGTTTAACCGCACCGAAATATCGGTTAACCGCAACCAAAATTGTCCCAATATCACTAACCGAAACCGAAACCGACAGAGACTTCGGTTAACCGAAAACCGCAAACATCGGTTTCGGTTTTTCCTTGCGATTAACCGAAACCGCAGTTTCTGGTTCACTTTCTCAGTTTTCGTTCAGAAACCGACCACCCAAAACCGAATTTCAACCACATTTTTTAATGATTCGCCCTCAATTTTGAGTGACCTGCTTTTGTTTCAGCCTCTATAATCACACACCATAAAGTCATCTAAATCAATTGAGCATAAAGCCTAAAGCAACCACACAATTCAACCACAACTCCACAACATAAAGTCTAACCACAAGTCACAATCACAACAAGACACAAATAACAAGTTCATTATCTCCAAATCATCAACCTAAATGATCCGAGGATCTCGCTCCAATTCATCTAGCCCATAGTCATCATTTACTCCAAGATCTTCATCTAGCCCATAGTCATCAACCTAAGGTTCACTCTATTGAGTGCAAAGGGGATTTAGAGAGGGGTGACTTTCGAGTTCTAACTCTTAAAAACATTTGAGACTCTTGATGGAGGGTTGTTTGCAATAGGTGAGAATTGGGATGTTTGGAATTGCAACTTTGATTGGTTTTGAATCTTACAACTTTTTCCCTTAGCCAAAGTAAAAAACCATGTAGTCACACTAGTAGGCGGTTATCGGTTTTCTTATCGGTTAACCGCTAACCGATTAATCGGTTAGCGGTTAACCACTAACCAAAATACTACTAACCGAAACCGAAATCAATAAAGAAGTAGCGGTTATCGGTTAACCACTAACCGAATTTATCGGTTCAGTTATCGGTTAAAACCGATAACCGACTAACCGTTTATCACCCCTAATCATGATGTTCTCTTTTTAAAGTCAAGTTTTAGTACCAATGAAACATCTTAAACATTAGAAAAGAGCAACCTGTAAAAGCACAAGCACAACAACTAGAGTTCAAAGAATCAAAACCATCTAGTCATAACAATAACAAAAAAAACAGATTCAACAAAGGATAACCAGAGCCACATCAATGGGCCGACAATGAAAACATCCAGCAGTTCAGTTCATTATCCTAAACTAAGAAAAATCATAAGCAGTAGCCTGAGTCAAAGTGGTATAATGCATTCAACAATTAGTAGAGCAACATACCTCGCGGCATCAACAACGGACACTATTGTCCCCAGTCCTCAAGCTAGCGAAAGTCTCCTAGAAGCCCAGAACGACCGAGAGAGAAGAAAAATCAGAGGCCCCCCGCAGCAAAAGCAGCAATTTGTAATAAAGAAAAAAAACATAACTTTATATACCCTAGCTTTTATGATTTGAGGGAGAAGGGAATATGATGAAATTTGGGGTAGATTTTCTTACCATGGACAACGGAGAATACTCTGATTTTCAGCGGCTGCCCAAAGAAGAAGGAAGCAGGCTATGGGACAGTTCTGGTTTGGGAAAGAAAAACGAAAGTCCAGTAGCAACCACGGTGAACCCTAGTTCTCTGATTTGGGGGGAAAGGAATAAATAAGAAGTTTTGATCGGGGAAGAAAATCAACAAAGAAAAACATATTGCCCACAGAGACTGAAGAAAGGAGGCCGATTTTTCAGAATGAAAAACAAAGATTTGTGGGGAGAAAGAAGACAATCAAAGCTGCGTGTACTGTGGGGAGATGACATATTTTGGAAGAATGTAATGTATTAGATTATGTGAGGTAAATGAAATATAGCTTTATTATTGTCATTATTTGTGCAATGGGAGAAAGAAGACAAACGAGATCTGGGGAGGAAAAAGAAGAACAAAAGACTCTGTTTCTTCACTACAACTGGTTCTTCTTCTGTATCCTAGGGGAGTAGGAAGAAGATAGTAGAGAAAAGAGAGGAGAGAGGGAAAATAAATAAATAAAAAAGAATTTTGCTGGTCAATTGTTGTTTTCTCTCAAAAAAGGAGGGTTGGGTTACACAGTAACCTGTCCACCCACTTTCCTTCACCTTGTCACTGTTACTAATTTCAGAAACTGTGGAAAGTTTCTTGGAGATGGTGCTTTCCCTCCTTTTCTTTCCCACGTGAACACAGTGTAAATGTGCTACTACCACTTAAGTCACCCAAATCAAATCATGCAATTTGATACTTATTAATAAAATAATGAATGTTATTCATGCATGTTGATATTTATTCACATCATTATAATATTGATGGGAACCTTTTCTGGGATTTGTCTCTCAAATACACTTTAAGGGGTAGGGCGGAGGGTGAGAGATCTGATTTTTAAAATCTTCTTCAAAACATTCCTTGTAATATATTTTATGTAGATCCATCAATGATAATTTGGGAGCCATCTCCAAGTGCGGGCTTCTAGGTGCATTCGATGTATGAGTGCCTAATCGTTGAACATAACTTGATTGGAGCTGAGTACCCATTCACATTAATCTGGCAACAGGGCGTCCCGTACAAAGTGTGTGCATTCATGTGAATAGTGTATAAGAAGAAAGCGCCGATGCAGGATCTTCTCAAAAAGCGTGGATTGGTGTTTCCAAATCGGTGTGCTATGTGCCAGGAGGATGAAGAAAGCATGGATCACTTATTCCTAGCT